GGTGAGAGGGCAGATCTTTCTCTCTACCCTCGGCCCCCAAGAACCGCAGAATCACAGAGTTGGACGAGACCCCAAGGGCCATCCACTCCAACCCAATTCTGCCATGCAGGAAGACACCATCCATGTGACAGGTGGCCATTCAGCCTCTGCTTCAAAACCTCCAAGGAAAGTGACTCTACCACCCCTCAAAGCAGTTCCTTCTACTGTGAACATCTCTGACCATCAGGAAGTTCTTCCTAATGTTTAGGTGGAGTTTATTTTCCTGTAGTTTGAACCCATTGCTCCCAGTCTTATTCTCTGGAGCAGCAGAAAACAAGCTTGCTCCATCCTCAACATGACATACCTTCCAATATTTGAACATGGCTATCATGTCACCTCTTAACCTTCTCCAGGCTAAACATACCCAGCTCCTTAAGTCACTCCTCAGAGGGCTTAGTGGTTTCCAGACCCCTGACTCCCTAAAATACACACAAACACACACACCATGAGATGTGTGCATGGAACGGCGTGTGATGCTTATGCCACCTTCTGAGGTGGGGAGAAGCCATTTGCAGGGTTCTTGTGCCGTCCAGTAAATCAGGCTGGTAACCCTTTCTCTCCTCTCTGACTTTGGGCTATTCTTGGGCAGATAGGGGACTCCCCCTCCTGGGTGCCAGAGATCCTTTACAAATGTACTCTATGTGTGTATGTGTGAGTGTGAGTGTGTGCATGTGTGTAGGAGCCTCTTTGCTCCGGAGCCATCTGCTCTGCTTCTGAGCTGTGGCTTATGCCTGCTTGAGGGTCATGGACTTTAAAAAAAGGAACGGTAAGCATCATCTGAAGTTGAAAGGAGATTCCAAGGTGTTGAGCTCTATCCCCAAAATAGGTTCAGCCCTTTGGGGAGCTGTTTTAAAATCTGGAATAAAACCTGGAGCAGATTTGTTGCCTGCTGACATGGGAGCCACCCACTGACACAGCAAGGAAGAATACAGAAGAGGAGTAATGGGACAGACCCCTGATAGGTGTAATGGAATTACTCTTTGGGGGCTAATATTTAAAAACACAGCCATATTAGTCTGGAATCTCAGTATGTAAAGGGATTTTGTAGCACCTTTGAGACTAAATGGATAAAAGAAGTTGTACCATAAACTTTTCTAGACTTGGTCTACTTCCTCAGATGCAAAGCTCATGCTACAACTTCTTTCCCCCAGTTAGTCTCAAAGATGCTACAAGGTCCCTTTGCATACTGTTCTTTTTGGGCTATAAGTCCCCAAATCCTCCAGCCAACATGATCAATGCTGTCCTCCAAAGAAGGAACTTTCCCAAGCTCTGCTGAACTTATTCCCCAAATAGCCAACTCCCTGAACCCCGACCAGATGAAGAGAAAATGACTGGGTCTGTCTTGGAATATCTGACAGAGGGAAATGCAAACTAGTTTTTGTTTGTTTGTTTGTTTACCATAGAGACACCAAAAGCCTGGGATCAAAAGCAGATGAGCCATGATAGCATGCATCAACACAGAAGGGATGGTCAGTGTCTTAAGGAATGAGGCATGCCCCTGTCTTCAGCAGCTGAAGATCGCCAGCCGGGGATGACCTAGAGTTGAAGTATAAGGCTGATATATAAGGAACCTGGGAAAATGGCTTGCATCTGGAAAGGATTCCTCTTGGTTCTCCAGAACTTCAAACCTCGTTGGAGGGAGTTGCATTAAAATAAAACATTCTGTAAGAAGATTGCCTCAGCTGCCAATGAAGCACAGCTGCATTTGGAAGAAAACCTGGAAGCTTCTCTTGGCAACTCTATTTGCAGCCCAAGTTGCGGGAGAAACTGCATGCAAACTGCAAATCACACAGGGCTTCAGTGAGGTTGGCTGTGATGGAATACCTGGGCTATAATTCCTCACTAAAACCCAACGGACATTTTTAGCTCAGTTTGGAATATCAGCATCATTCTTCCCTTCCTTCATGTGAAACCTTCATAAAGTGCTCACAATCTAAGAGATATAAAGCTTTGTGTATTTCATTCTTGTATGTAAACAAGAATGATCTCAGCATTTTTCTCCTCGCTGCATGAAAATGCAACCATTATGGTGTGATTTTCCAACATGATTCATACTTTGGGATTCTGCTCTGGAAAATTAGTTTGCATACGACTGTGCATGGTTTTCTAACACAGAAAACACATTTTTGGCCAGAAAACAGGTATTTTGTGCAAATAACTGTGTTATGCAGAAGACTCAGAAAGGAAAAAAAAAACATGTGGATTTTCTGGGCATGTGAGGTCTTTTTGGTTTTTGTACCAAATTCATGTGAGTTTTTTTGGGTTTTGTACCAAAGCTGTAGAATTTCCACAAGATGTATGCAATTTAGGCAAGGGGTCTCCACACACCTCTTCCCCAACCCCTGCCCTTGCTGTGCAGCATCTCACCTTTCCGACAAAGGGCCACTCAGCCACACCTGCTGATCCAAATGTGTTTTTATTGGGTATACTGGTTTTCCTTTCAGCTTTTGAGTGCTTCAGATTTCACCCACTGGTACAGGACGTACGCTGGCGCTGCCCCAGAAGTCCAAACACAAACTGGACCCAGCATTTCAGGTCTGGCCAGAGGGAGACTGCCAGCCCTGAGTGCAAGAGTCCTTTTCGTAGGCTTCATCCCACCTGCAATGTCAAAAGCTGACCCACAGATGGTGGGGTTACTCCCAGCGCCGTGGCAGGGATGGAGTCGGGCAGGGGACAGGATGGAGTCTTCTGCCCCCAAGTCCTTGAGGTGAGCATGGAACAGACAAGAAAATACAGAGCCCTTCCTAAACCGGTCGAAATGCCTGGGGAGGGGGATCCCCGCTTTTCTTCCAATCCCGTGGGAGGAAACTGGATTCCAGAGGATTTAATGCATGCACACGATAACAGTGAAACCCCGCAACCCCAAGACACCAGCGTCGTCGGATACACCCCAGGACAGGAAGAG